CAGCGTCGAGAAGATTGATCGAAAGACTGTGCAGAAGATGATGGCGTCGATCAAAGGAAAAGTCCGCAGATTCATCAGAACAGGAGAGATGAAGAACTAAGATGTTATGTACTTGAATTCTGAGACTCTGTAGTTTCCGAAAATATAAGTTTCAATTTCCAAAATTGTTGTCTTAATTTTTTATCGACTTTTGAAATCGGTGCAATTTAATCTGTGTCATGCTTTAGCAAAGAGGTAGATGAGAGACTGCATACTGGAGTGAGAATATTCCTTTCAAAAGGTGGTGAAAGCTGGATGCTGTATGTACTATGGAGGTTCAAATGAAAGGGGAGAATGGCTGTTACTTATTACTCATAGCCTAAGGGTAAGGGTAACCTAAGATAGGGGACTAAAAGTCCCCTTTTCACATGAACACCCATAGTACTTGAAGGAGTGCCCAATAATATCTAGATATCCTCCTGATGTCTTTACATTCCAGAATATGAAGATATCAGGATGTTAAGATAGGACTGATTGCTGCAACAAATCGGAATTAGGTATATAATAAAAGAAGTGGTTTTCTGCAGCTGAATTTGAGGAGCTGCTGGAGGGAAACAAGGAGTTGGAATCCTGCATCAACAACTCCCTGGTTCAGATCTTAAATCCCTTGGATGTGTTGGAGCTTTTTAGGGCCATTCCAGATGAAGAACTCCCATTGTTGTTGATCAATCATGATGCAGCTCACCCTAAGGATCTCATCCTTACTCGCATCCCTGTGCCACCCCTCTGCATCAGACCCTCAGTAGTCTCTGACCTCAAGTCTGGCACGTATGTTTATCTCCCCGGTCTGAATTCCCTATGCATTCATTTCATGGGTCAGAAGCAGATATTTGCTTCCACTCCAATAACCCATTAAAATGTATTCTATCTTAAATATTCATAGACTACTCCATCTTTCACTTTTTTCTTGTAATGAGAGTGTCAGCCTCCAACTTTCCCTTCCAGAAATGAGGATGATGTGACAATGAAACTCTATGAGATCATTTTCATCAATGAGGTGATCACAAAGCATCGTCAACAGGGTGCCAAGATCCAAATGATCACAGAAGACTGGGATTTCCTCCAGCTTCAATGTGCTCTCTACATCAATAGTGAGACCTCTGGCATTCCCCTGAATATGCAAGTGAGTTCTCCTCCATTCATGAGTCTCATGTCACAAGGGAGCAGTAAGTGTTATAAATATGCCACCTCTCATTTGAGCAGCCAAAGAAAGCCACACGAGGGTTTGTACAGCGGTTGAAGGGGAAACAAGGCCGATTCCGGGGGAACCTTAGTGGGAAACGTGTGGATTTTACAGCACGAACTGTTATCTCCCCTGACCCAAACTTGAAAATTGATCAGGTAATTTCAGAATGCCATTCCCAGTGCAATACTGCATGTTGAAAGTTGAGGGGTCTGTCATGAAGTAATGCTTTGTGGTAATTTGATGTATTTATAGGTGGGTGTGCCTGAATTAGTGGCCAAGATCCTGACCTTTCCATCAGAGGTGAATCGCACAAACCTAAAACTCATGCAGCAGCTTGTTGTGAATGGAGCTGATGTCTACCCTGGGGCCAATTTTGTACAACAACGTGGAACAAAAATCAGAAAGTTCCTGCGTTATGGAAATCGTCATAAGATTGCTCAGGAGCTTAAGGTTGGAGGAATAAGGCCAAAATGTGTACTTCTGGAGTGCTAATTGGAATACTTTTTCTTTAGCTAGGGGATATAGTAGAGCGTCACTTGATGGATGGTGATGTTGTACTCTTCAATCGTCAGCCATCTCTGCATAAGCTGAGCATCATGAGTCATCGGGCCAAGGTCCTCAAGCACCGGACATTCAGGTAATCATTCATCCATATCATCTAAATTCCTAGTAATGTGAGAGACCCATTTTAGCATTCTGTCCAGATTTAATGAATGCGTGTGCACACCCTATAATGCTGACTTTGATGGGGATGAGATGAATCTTCACCTCCCACAGACAGAAGAAGCCAGGGCTGAAGCTGCAATCCTCATGGGAGTAAGTGCCTCTCAATTCATGTTCTTTTCTCAATTCATTTTTGCTTTCATGGTTTCACTTCCAGTTTTTATTCCTCAACAAAATGAAAATGATTTACTTTGCATCACAAGGCCAACTTCACCCAAAATATGAACTATTGCAACAAATGCAACACACCATTGTGCCATGCAGCAACTGAGTCAGAAATGGCATTCTCTCTTCGTACTTGGTCTCAGTGCCAGGTCTCTCTCATGCACATATACATATGTACTCCTGAGTGTCATGTCCCCCTGATTTCTTGTTTTTGGGGCTATATCTGTGAAGCCATGTCACATCTCATCTCAAACTTCCTTTCATAAGTTGCCGTGATAGTTCACTTCTTATGGGGTGCACTTTCCTATGGAAAAAGCAAAGTGCACCCCATTTTGCCCAATGTGCAAGACCAAATGATTTTTAACTTTTTCTTGTTTAGTGTCTTATATTGACCCCTTACCACATTAAATTTAATTTTATTATATATAAATTATCTTCATTCTATATAATAAAATCTATGGTGGTGCATGATTGTGGTGGTGGTAGCATGCACACACATGACATGTGTGTGCACAGCATGATTGTGTATGCTCTCCCATAACCATAGTCCATGGGGTGTGGCCAAAGGCCACCAAAATATGAAGACTTGCACGACAGATTGCAATGTCTGCAGAGCAGTGTGAGGCTGCCAATTAAAGCCCATATACCACATTGTCCTACAAAGCAACAATTTAAAGTTAATGTCTTAATCTTCTGGCTCCCCTTTGTCTTCACTTGGTGTCATTTCCCTGTCCTTTGTTTATCATTGAGGCAGACCTTCCAGAAATTCAGGGTGGTTTTGCTGCATCCTGTCTTCTCACATGGCCAGCCAGTGGGGGATCCAGGGGGTGGGTGGTAGTGACTGCCCCCCCCCACCTCCCTATGGCCATATTTGCATTCATTGCCTTTGAATTCTTCCATGCTTTTGCACAGGCTACTACTGAGTAGTATTTAGAAAATTATATGTGCAGCAGAGGTGGTGTTTCACCCAGTAGGTGAACAGATGGCTGAAAGTTACAGGCACATTGTGAACTTTGTATCTAATACACCACATTGTGCACTTTGTCAAGATTGCTCTAACATCTTGCAAATAACATCAGTTTGATGGTTTGTATTATACAGGATATTCCATAAGTCAGTTTTCCTAGGGGTTTTCAGCAATGCTAAATTCTTATTAACTTTGTAATAATTTAAATGTTAATAAGAAATTTTTTAGCATGCATCTTCCTTCACCTAGGAAATGATCCTTGTGTTATTTCCCTTTGATTCCTGACTTTTGTTCCACCTTGTACACTTACCCAAACTTTGTATAGATTGGTGAACCTTACTGGGCTATGATTACTTGGATCAACTTAACTATTTCTAACAAATATAAGAACAGCATTCACTTTGTTCCAGTCCTTTGATCTGGAATTCCAGGTGACAGGGCCCTGTCTGAATATTACTCAAGGAGTAATCACAAATACCTGCAGTGTGTCTTGGATGACTTAGTCTGAGATTCCAACCATAGGACTCAGGTCCTATAGTTTACTTGATATATTAATTTATTAGTTACAGCAATATGTCATCTATCATGAAATAAACATCTTCAATCCAAGGAACTGGATTCAATAGTACCATCTAAACTTGGTGAGTACTGATTCTCATGGGGTATCTACATGAGTTTTAGCCATCTTCTTGGTGATGGGTTTCTGGCATGAAGGGTAGGGGGAAGAAACAGATTGAAAAATCTGTAATGGATGTGATCTAGCTTTCCTATCTACTCCTGTGGTTTGCAACCATTTTATGAGGGTGCCTCTGCTCTCAGTTGGACTGCATAATGGCTGTGTGGCCAACCACAGCTAGTGCATAAAAGAAGAGCGCACAAAATCCACCCAATGGGCCATAGTCAGGGTTACCCAGATTCTGGTTTCACAAGGTATATATTTTAACCATGCATCTTTGGCATTGACTGACCTTCACCCCACTTTCATGTACCTCATATGTTCATAGTTAGGGTACATTGTGAATCTTGCTAAGATGAAAATCCAACTTGAAAGTCATGGTCATAGTGTTGCACTGCTGCATAATTCAGCCATTGGTATTAATGCAATGTCAATGCCAAACATGGGGGGACTGTGGAACATACCTCCAATGTTGGAGGCATGCACAGATGTCTGAAATGATGTGTTCTCAACGTGAAACTGCATTCAAACAGGTGAAAAACAATTTGATCACGCCACGAAATGGAGAGCTGATCATTGGAGCAACGCAGGACTTCATCACAGGTGCATTCCTTCTTACAAAGAAGGATGCATTCTTCGATCGAAGCAAGGCATGCCAATTGATTTCAGCCATCCTTGCTGGCACAGATTCTGGACTCAGGATTAAGCTTCCTCCACCTGCCATCTGGAAGGTTGTTCCACTATTGACTTCTCAGCTAACTAAACCTAGCTAACTAACTTTAGTCAAGGCTCAGAAATGAGTTTGTGAACTTTAGCCACAACGCCTATGGACGGGGAAGCAGATCTTTGGCCTCATCATACGTCCAAATCCTTCATGTCCAGTGAAAGTGAACCTTCGTACAAAGGGAAAGTCATCCACTTCTAATGGAGAGTTCTGCCCTAATGATTCCTGTCAGTTTCTTTCAAAAAATTAAAGGATGGTCAGCCCTCAATTCATCCCCTGATCATTTAATTCCTAATCATTCCTTTATGGCATTCTCAGCATAGATGTGCTTCAGAATAATTATGCTTTCATATATTTTGGATCTTGATTTCCTAACAGGTTTCAGCAGGAGCACTTGAGCCAATGTTTTATTGTAGCACTTCTTATTGTAAGTCAAAAGAGAGTGTTGCACAATTCAGGAATGAAGAAGTTGAGAGATGAGCAGAGCAAAAACAGTAAAACATGAAGAGGGAAGGAGGGAATGAAGGAGACATCTTTGTTTCACATTATTTTCAGTCCCTCAATATTCTTTTCCCTCCAGGGCATTGTCTCATTCATATATAAAGCTCTTTCATTTAATTAGCCTTAATATCAAAGCTACCAAACACTTTGTTCCACAAACTCCTCTCTGTCATGGCTGCCCTCATATTTCTTCCTTTGTGCATGTTCTTATCATCCAATAAAGGGCTTCTCACCCAAAAGACTATTGCATTTCCCATTTTTCTGGGGGATTTTTCTTTCCTTATTCATGCTTTCTCCTTTTACCCTGGTCTTTTCTCATATCCTCATTTCCAAATGAGGATATGAGCCCACTCTGGCTGACATCTTACCAGTTTAGAAGTCTTGTAGCTGTATAGTGTATCCATTTGAATCTTGGGTTGTCGGATCTTTGCAGCACCCGCCTAATGAGGTGATAATGAGGGTGAGAAGTGGGTAGCATCAATTAAATTGATTATCCCTAAACCCTCTGCCCATTCTAAATTTGTCTCTGGCTATTATGGTAAGTTCTTAATGGTCCAATCCTGCATACTAATATAGTATTTGCTAGAGGGTAACAATTAACACCATGGAATAGGGCTGCTTTCACATTGAAGATTTTTATTGAAATTGGCTTCAGAATTGCATGTCATGCAATCAGTATACCTCATGCTTATACATACCTCTGGTCTTTGACTCGGGATGAATTGTAGGGAACTGACTTCTTCCGCTAAATATATCATTTTAATTTTTTACTTTTTTCTGAATAACTATCTTGTCATACTCTCTTCCAGTCATTTTGATCCGGAATTCAGAGCTGCTAGCAGGAGCCATAGACAAGTCAGTGATAGGAGGAGGAAAGAACAACATCTTCTATGTGATGCTGAGGGATTATGGACCAGACCTTGCAGCAGATGGAATGTGGCGCCTTGCAAGGCTAACGTCTCATTTTCTCATGAACCGGGGCTTCTCCATAGGAATTGGAGATGTCACCCCAGGTGCTGGACTGCTTGAAGCAAAGCAGAAGCTCTTGGAAGAAGGATATGCCACATGTAATGAGTATATTGAGGATTTAAAGGGAGGGCGATTGCAATGCCAACCAGGATGCACAGAGGAGCAGACTCTGGAGGCAATGATCCTCAAGGAACTCTCTGTCATTCGAGATCATGCTGGGCAGGCCTGCTGGAAGGAGCTTCCCAAGTCAAACTCCCCGCTCATCATGGCTGTCTGTGGCTCAAAAGGTCTCAGAGGATGATGTTCCATTCAATTGAGCTTTTTCTTCCTTGGTGTATGGGCTGCTCTGCTAGTGACCCTCTGCATAACAATATCCTTGGGCCATGCATCATGCAGCATATTAGCATGAGGCACTTGTACTTGTATCTTCATCCATTTTGCAGATAGGGTGGGTGGTTGTTTATAGCTGGAAGTGTGGTAGTTTCTATGTAGGAGATGAAGTCTAGAAATGAGAAGACCTGGTTAGACAAGGAAACCTTTTCAGGTGTGAAAGGGATGAGGTGCTAGATGCAGATAAAAATAAAAGAGAGGAAGGGAACATGTCAAAAAACAAGGGAGTCCTGTTGTACCTGACTTGAACTGGAATCCTAAGAGTGAATGCCCAGGGGAGCCTACTGGATCAAAAGATTCATGCTGACTTTGAAGAAAGATTTGTAATATCCAACTTTGTATCATTTCTCTCAATACTATGTATTTTCTCAATTTTTTTTTGTAGACCTTTTAGTGACTCAGCCCTTATTCCTTCTCTGATTACAGGTCTTTGTATTTTTTATGAGGTTGGTGCAGCCTTCAGCATTCAAAATGATTCTCTCACCTTTTCCATTCGCTCATTTACTTCCAGGTTCTTTCATCAACATCTCACAGATGATTGCTTGTGTTGGTCAGCAGGCCATCAGTGGAAAACGAGTGCCAGATGGTTTTGAGGATAGAGCCCTGCCTCATTTTGAGAGACATTGTAAGTATGAGTGCTCACATGCGTCTATTTGTTTTCTTGATTCCAATCATCCATTGAACTTGTCCCCTGGGATGATAAAGAGTTTTATATTTCCAGCTAAGATCCCAGCTGCCAAAGGGTTTGTGAGCAACAGCTTCTATTCTGGTCTCACACCAACTGAGTTTTTCTTTCATACCATGGGAGGCAGGGAAGGACTGGTTGACACAGCTGTGAAAACAGCTGAAACAGGCTACATGCAACGCAGACTTGTCAAGGTTCTTCTTGTTTGGATTTTTTAATCATTTTCTTGTAAAGAACTTGAGACTGATCAATTATATATGTGATATATTTGCAGAGTTTGGAGGACCTGTGCTTCCAGTATGATGAAACTGTTCGAAATTCGTCAGGTGAAGTGGTTCAATTTGTATATGGAGGGGATGGCTTGGATCCTGCCTGCATGGAAGGTACATTATTGTTTCATCCATTCATTCTAGGGTAGCTATAAATAGATAGTGACAGGTTAAAATGCATGGTGCAGGGAAGGACAAGCCAGTTGATTTCCAGCGAGTGTTTGACCATGTGAGGAGCAAGAACTCATATATTGATGAAAATCCCCTGAATTGCCAGAGTATCAAGACTGCTCTTCAGGAGCATCTGAATTCTTCAAGGCTCAGTGACTGTGGAAGTGTTTTCAAGAATGAACTCAGGTAGGGCCAGGAGTGAATCTCCTGGATACCATTAGTATTGGGGATCAAAACACTATGTCTACATTGCAGGGAGTTTCTGGAAAGGACAGCCGAGCATGTTGACCATGTGAGAGGAAGGTTTTCTTTATTGACGAAGGATAGCAATACCTTGCAACCAGTGGAGAGGCATTTGGAACGAGTCACCATGTCACAGCTGTCTAAGTTCATTGAAACCTGTCGAGAGAAGTACATGCGGGCTCGCATGGAACCAGGTACCAGTAGTTGACTGTGCTGTTCTCTAAAGGCTATTTCTCCCTTTGTACTTCCTACATGTCACATACACATGAATGCCTGTGTTAAGTTGTAAATTTAAACATGTAAGTAATGAGTTTTCAGTATGTCTCTGGGTTCACAGCACATCAAGTAACTCTGGGTTAGCTCTCTCTAAATTCCAAAACACAGCATCGGCAGTCAACTCTCATTGTAATGAAGATATAATTATTTCACTGTCAGGTTTTCATTATGTGAGGTGAGGGTTACACTGTATACCTTCTTTTATCCCCCTAAGTGAGAAATTTCTTGGATAGAAGTCTGCCAATGGATTGGGAATTTTTTTGTTGTGAAATATTGATTTGTGTTTTTGTGCAGAAATTTACTGCTCTTTTTTGAGTTTATACTCCTATCTCCAGCTTCAAGTTTATATTTAACTCAAACTTGAAAAAAAAAAACTTAACATATATATACAAGGACCCATCAAAAAGTTTCAGGACTGGCCTTCATATGTGAAGACTAGGTACACTAGTTAGGTTTCAGTATGATCCTCTTTGAAATAGCTCCCTTGGCTTTGTAATTAGGGATAGGGCAGTTAATTGACCACCTTTTAATTTACTGTTATTGACCACTCTTTTTCTATGCAGTGAATTAAGTGAATTAAGTTTCTATCCAGTGAATTCACATAACTGTGGTAATTTATCCTCCAGCACTAAAACCAAAGAGCCAGTTTTGTTTTAAAGTTATATTCATGCAGCCCACCAAACATCTGGACTGTGGTACCTGTTAGGTATGAAAATATTATAGCAAATTCTCAAACTACCAAGGACCTCTTACCTGAATGGTATAGAGTGTGTACAGGCATAGCCTGCTGTTCAAAGTCTTCCAGCCTTAATGACTGAAACTCAAGGTTCAAGATCGGGGCTCAAGGCTCAAGAGAGTTACAGTTTTAGAACTTCAGTTTAATGCAAGGTCTGTAATAGTTTTGGCCAATAATTTGCATCAGAGTATCAGTCAGTAACCCATCCCTACTGGCAATTCACTTCTCCCCATGTTAGTCAAGGGCTTGGAACACTAGCTGTAAGCCATTCTTGGAAACCACCTTCAATGCATTGGTTGCAGCTAATATGTGAACAATTGTGTCATTGAAGCTGCAGCCTTTCAGAATGAACTTCATCTGGGAAACAGTGTGAGGTTACAAGTCACAAGGGAAGATGTGGGAGCAATATCACCCCAGAAATTCAATGGTACTGCCATGATACTGATGGATTGTAGTGATTTCTGCAAACAAGGGCCTGCACTGTTTCCTCTGTATAGCTTTTGATGGCTGTCCACTGCATTTGTCATCTTCTAGGGATTCCTGCCCTTCATGAAATTGACTGTGCCACTCACACACGCATGAAAATCAGGAAACCTTCTTTCATATTATCCATATTTGAAACCATACAAATCGCTATCTTCTCAGATAGGAAATGCTAATGACTTTGAAGTACTCGATGCTTCAATCTTTGCAGTATTGAATGAACAAGGTTTTCCTGTATTTATCTTTAATCAGGAGGGTTTCTTTCATTCTGAATATGTACAAGAGGATCGGGTCATTAATGGGCAGTTCTACATGGAGGCACCAAAATACCTGTTTACAGGCATATTCTAACATCAATCAGCACTTCAGAGAAGTGATTGAGTGTTGCAACTTGACAATATGCCAGAAAACTTGTCACTCTGAGTTAGTGAGTTTCTGGTCAAACATTCCATTTCCCTGGTGTGATATGCACCCTAATCCCTTAATCTAGCATCGCATTACTGCTTGGTGAATTGATGTATCAGTGGATTACTCTGAAGGAGATGGGTAATAATTTGTTGATGCCATTAACTTTTTCCGATCCTCTGTCAGGGGGCTTCAACATTTGATTTGTCTCTGGTGTCTATGTCAGGCCTCCCCTGACACATAATTATGCTAATCCAGTCCTCTGTCATATATGGCAAATAGTATATGGTATGGTCCTACCTATACTACCTATGGTGTATATGGTGAGAGCACCCAGAGTGTGGGTATTAACATCAGACCTGGCTAAGGATAAAATTACCTGGAAATATGGACCAGAGAAGGTTAAGGTTATGCTTCAGAAAAATAATGTAAACAATTTTTCATTTCCCCATCATATGACCATTGTCTATCAGGAGAAAGGTGGAAATATATGGTCACCCTTGATGAAGCATGGATATATATGGGTGACACAAAGTTCAAACCATTTTTATCATTTTTGTCATGATTCATGGTAAAAAATTTCAGAAGTGCTACCTGGAGTGCTAGGAAATATTTTCACCTGGATTCAAATTTTTGGATTTTGCTAAAATTGGGAAGTTGCTCATCTGTAGAGTGGCCAAGAATGGAAAGATCAACTCCACATATTAACAGGACTAATTTTTGGAGGTAATTTTTGTGAAAGGAATCCTATTTCTAGATGACCCATACTCTAAAGGTGTCTGTGCACCAAGGTGAGGTATTAGTAACATTAATATTGCTGCCTTCTTGAACCAGAGAAAGATGCGACAGGAACAATGTCACTATAATTTGTTGACATTTCACAACAACACAAACAATTAGCATTTGTGGTTTGAATAAGGTTTAAAATTTCATCTTCCTATCTATAATTTTCATTTCATGACTTTCCATATCTTCATTTCCATATGCTGATCTTAATCAGCTTAACAGGGAATCAGGTTGCACCAAAAGCATCAGAAGGCAGAAGTTAAAAGCCAAACTGTCCATATCACTCAGAGATATTTATCAAGCCTACTGTGGAGAACATAAAAAGAGGTTGAACCACCCTGATTTTTTAGGTACAGCAGTGGGTGCATTGGCAGCACAAAGCATCGGAGAGCCTGGAACACAGATGACACTGAAGACATTTCATTTTGCGGGTGTTGCATCCATGAACATCACCCAGGGGGTGCCTCGAATCAAGGAAATTATCAATGCATCCCGAGTCATCAGTACACCCATCATCACAGCCCACTTAGAGAATGAAATAGATGCAGAATTTGCCCGTCGGGTCAAGGGTCGCATTGAGAAAACCCTTCTTGGTGAAGTCAGTCTAATAATTTGGTCCCCATTATTAGCCTGCTCCATTTGAGGTCTGTCATCTTCTCCTCTGCTTGCAGGTGTCTGAGTACATTGAAGAGGTATATCTGCCAGCAGAATGCTTCCTGCTGGTGAAGCTGGACATTGAACGTATTCGCCTCCTGAAGCTTGAGGTTGATGCTGAGTGCATTCGATATTCGTGAGTTACCCCTCACCTCTAAGGCTTGCTAATTATGAATTTTTCTAAAAACTTATAACTGTGGTTGTTTATCCTCAAGCACTAAAAGCCAGTTCCATTTTAAAGTTATATTCATGCAGCCCACCAAAAATCTGAACTGTGGCACTCATTGGGTATGAAAATATTATAGCTAATGCTCAAACTACCAAGACCTCTCACCTGGGTGGTGTAGAGTGTGTTTCAGGCATTGCCTGCTGTTCAAGGTCTATCATGGTATTTGCCAATAGTCTGCACCAGAGCATCCAATTTGATCACAGATCACAGATTCTCAGAATCTGTGATCAAGGGATAAGTAAACTTACTTGGGTTATGCCTAGGTCTGTGCCTAAAAAAATTAATCTAGCTATGAAAAACTTCCTTGAGCAAGGCAGAGGCTTTTTTTCTGATAGAAACAGGAATAAATATTTATGCCAGAAGCAAAGAAACTCCAGTTCTGTAAACTGTGTTGCATTCTTCATTATTCAGAGTACTTATGAACTAACATTTACATAATTTACCTCTGAAACATTACTGATAACTGTTTAATGTTCCAACTCATACAATCTATATGGTAAAGTCTATTAGTGATGAGGTGTTGACTGGTCAACATGGTCATTTATAATCAAGTACAGTCATGACCCCTAACCTCTTGTTGGGCTGGTTGGTCATTATTGTCTGTAAATGGTCATAAATGACATTGTTGACCTGTCAACTTCCCATACCTTGTCTATCGCTTGTGAGTCATGACATGCAAATGGAACAGAAACTGTACAGGAAAACATAAAAGTTGGCCTTATAGACCATAATTAACCATAGTTGACAATATTGACTGGTCTATTACTCATTCTAAGTGAGAGTAAACCTCCTTGGTCCTGACATCCCTGATGACAATCTGGGTAGAGTAACTAATGAATTGTGCTAATGAAATAAAACTTTAGGCTTCCCTTTTGGTTGTATTTCATTGCTTTTTATTTCTCTCCATTTCTCTTCCAATTTCAGATCACCTAGAACAGGACTCGTTTATGTCAGCTCTCATAATAAGAGTGATAAGTAAATCAACTGGTTGAGGGTGCCTGCTTGATTATTGCTTAGCTGACCCATCTTTAAAGGAGACTATGAGCAAGAAATCATAATACACATACACATATTGCATACAATGACTATTTCCCAAATTGCTCCAACAATATTGGTGCCAGAAAGTTGAAATTTCACATGGACACTCAGAAATGACAAACCTGGAATGTGTTGGGGCCAGTTTTGATAATTTTTATTTTATATGACTGAATCAGGGAGCTAAGAGGAAACTGCCATCAAATTTTCAAATAACATGACAGATATTGTTCATTTTTGCATGGAAAAATTGGAAAATTCACTTTTTTGCTCCAAACAATCTATAGCAGTATGTTTTATCATGGATTCCTATGAATTTGAAGAAATTTGGTTGTTTTTTTTTTTTTAGCTGTGGCTTGGGAAATGTCAGATGTACTTATATTTTAGTTTTTTTTAGAATATCTCAGGAACTGCTGGAGCTTGATGTTAAAATTTATGTTGCAAAAAGATCTTTAGAATGCAAGCTTTTCAATGGTACCAACAATTTTTTCTTTCTGCAAAGCATCTCAATTTTTATTTTTTGCTCGGTCTCCCTTTTAGCCATGAGGATCCCAATCTGTTAGGAGTAGAGTGATGGAGTGTGTGACCTTGACCATTCTTATTAATGCTTTCAGACCCAGATGGAAATTCACCAGACTAGCCCTGAAGCCTGGCCATTTTTCCCAAGAGTTGCAATTTTCCACTCTGATCTCTAAAAATTTATATTCCAGAAACTTTGTAGTTTTGCATCTTTTTTGCTGCAGGTTCAGGCTCACTATCACTCTCACTATTATCACAAACATCACTGTCACTGAATTCTTCATCAATATCATAAATGGAATCACTGTCTGCAAGAATTTAATAAATTTCTTCTTCATCACGCATATGTCTCCTGTGGGCTGCCATCTTGGTTTTGTCTGAAAAAAAATTCCAATGATTAACAACAGTTAGAATCTTTAAAATATCGATATTCCTATGAGGTTCTTTTTTACAAGTTGCCAGGACTGTCTTCTACCACTAAAAAGCAGAGCAAGTGATATCTACTATGTGTACATTGAACTATGCGACCAAATTTTAGACCTAGCACCACATCCATAATCTCAGATGATTGTGTTAACCTGTTAAATAATAAGTTGTTGGCTTTGTCCCCTATCTGCTATAATTGGCTTTGGCACTGGATAATGGAAGTGAGATCGTGACTGGCCAATGACTCATTGACTAAATACTGCCATCAGTACACCCAATGCAGAATGAATGCCTTAAAGGTCTTCAATAAATGCAAATTTTTTTACAAAGATTCATGAATTCAATGATCACATGGACATCTTTGCAGTTTTTAAGTTCTTGCCAAGTTTGCTGACCACAGTAGACCATCCGGACTCACACTGGGTCAGGATCTGTATGCCATTTTTGCAACATTGTATTGCACAATATTTGTTTTTATCATACCAATCATTTTTGATTCTTAATTTACTCTGGGATGTGATTGTGAGTCTCAGAACCTGTAGAGTCACCTGAGTGGCTCAATAAAAGAAAACAGTTTGGAACCTGTGTACAAAATCTCAATAAAATACAGAGTTGGCCAAGAAAATGTAAGCTATTTTAAATTTTACTATAAAATCTGTATACTTCAATCAATTTAGTTGTAACTTTAATCCAACACTGCCAAATATGCCTACAACAACTCATGCTTGGCTTGTAGCAAATTTGGTCAAAATATTGAAAATTCTGAGTGAACAGATACGCACTTTTGAAGGGGAAAATGCGCATTTGACATTTTTGCTTTAAAATTCAGCTCATGTTCATGGATCATGAAAACTTAACAGGATATTGTCATATGTGTGTTTTACATCATTGAAAATGTGATGCATATGCATAAATATTCCTGTGCCTATGACCACCCTCTCTTGGATTACAGCAGATTTTGTCAAAATAGTCAAGATTCTGAGTGAACAGGCATACTTTTTAAACCATATTAGACAACATAATATTACATTTTAAATTCAATGCATATGAAAGTATGGATTTTGCAACGTAATTAAAAGTGGCTTACTTTTTTTTGGCCAACCCTGTATATTAAACTGTATGCACAATTCAACTTGACAGTTTGCTAAGCATACTTCTTGACATATGAGCTGTAGGGAACCTGTTAAAATGAAGGAATTCAAAGAGGAGATGGGAAAAGGTTAACATTTTTCTCCAATATCAGTTTGTGTACCTGCAAACTCAAGTTGAAGCCTGGGAATGTGACAGTAGTGAGCAGTTCCCTGATCACAGTGAAGCCAAATGTGAGCAGCCGATCCACTCTCTACTACTCTCTCCAGCACCTTAAGGAGGAATTGCCAATGGTCATCATCAAGGTGAGAAAGTTACTCAAAGATAGAGCCTGCCAAAATATGGTGCATTTTTGCATTCCAGATAATTCAGGGTGACCATGAACTCCACTGACCTGATAATGCTCTTTTGTCTATTGTTTCTCGGCTTTGATTGGAAATTGACATTTGTACCAGGGTCTCCCATCTGTTAATCGAGCTGTGATCCATGTGGATGACTCTGGAAAGATAAGCAAATATAAGTTGTTGGTGGAAGGAGATAACCTGAGAGAAGTCATGGCTACATATGGAGTGAAAGGAAAATATACCTTCTCTAACAATACTCTTGAGATGGCCAAGACACTGGGCATTGAAGCTGCCAGGTTTGACATGCAGAAAAAAACTATTAAAATTTGTATGCTTACAAAATTGATTCCCTTACCATTATTATGTCCTGGATTGCTGGCAGGACCACAATTATCAAAGAGATTCAGAACACGATGGAGCACCATGGGATGAACATAGACCAACGCCATGTAATGCTTCTGGCTGACCTTATGACCTTCAAAGGTGAAGTCCTTGGTATCACGCGCCATGGACTGGCCAAGATGAAGGAATCTGTCCTCATGCTTGCATCAGTGAGATACTCAGACCTTCCTTTTCATAATTTTTTCAGCCTTATTTTTCATAAGCTTTTTTAGTCATGCAAAATTTCCATTTTTTAGTTTTATGTATTAGTCCCATGAGATTTTTTTTCCCATGCAGTTTGAGAGAACATCTGATCACCTTTTTGATGCTGCATATTATGGACAAGAGGATTCAGTGACAGGAGTCTCTGAGTGCATAATCATGGGGATCCCGATGAACCTTGGAACTGGGCTCTTCAAACTCCTTCACAGGTAGGAAGACATCTCTCAAAGGGCTGGGGGAGTGGGAGAGATTTCACCAGGTGGGCAGAATGGGTCATTTAGTCTCCCCAACTAGTCTGGCTTGACCCATTTCTCTAGAGGTCCTACACTGAAATAAGGTCATTTAGGGCCAACTCATCCATTGTTTTCTATGGGAGGTAGGAAATGAAAAGGTCTAATTAGGGAACTATGGAAACTAGGGAACATAGAGCACTGCAGCAAGTGAATACCATGAGAAGATTTATGCCTTACTTATGGTGTGTCCAAACTATGTTGCATTAAAGCTTCATTTTTTCACATCTGAGTTTGGACACCCACATAATTGGAAATATTGGAAGCTATAAGGTCAATGGTCATTATCTTTATCACACTCATACCTACTCGTATTGTGCTGCTAGACACAAAAAATTAAGTATCTGGGTTATGAAGTGTGATGAGCGAATTAAAATGCTATCTCGGCTTAACTGTCTAAATATCAGTGGTTTTACCCAGTGTTTTTCAGTACAATATGGTTATTTGCATCCACCCTAAAAAATTGTTGGAAGATTTTCTTACTTTCATGATATACTTAAAAAAAAAAAGCATGACCAAGAAGGAGTTTACTGTTCTTGATGAAATGTGGTACACAAGCTCATATTAGCATACCATGAAATCAATTAGAATTTCAAGTGTGTGGGTTGAATATTCATGGAGAAAACTTGCCAAACACAAAATGTCAATAGTGGCTCTGGGGTCATACTAATCATCTGAAATGGTAACTTCAGAGGCTTTTATTGATTGAACATACTCAAAGATTTGAAGAAAAATTTGAGCAAAGTTTTAAGGTTGTGAGGCAATGCAGAGAAAACTTACCAAATGCTCTAACTATTGGGAAAGATGGTGGCTCCATTGAAGTTGTCAGTTTATTTTTCTCTTCACCCCACGTCACTTCACTATAGGGCCATTGTTGTGAGTTTAAACGTATCAGTGGCAGTGCCAATATGAGATCTCTGGAGGCAATATCATTATAGCAATATCATCATTAACTTTTAGAGTGTTTCATTGATGTAAGCTAATTGAGATGCATATATCAGCTTGATAGACCAGGCTGGTTCATACATCAAGATGATGCAGGGTAGGCTTCCCAATTGCCCTCAATGGATCAAACAACCTATTAACTTGTTGTATTGGAAGGATAGGGAATGAATTTACAGTTTTCCTCTGATTTCAGAGGTAGATTTACTCAGCTTACAAGGGTACACATATAATACAAGGGTGGATCAGAAACTTAGGTGAAAATGCCTGCACTTTTTTGTATAGACATATTTATTGAAACATAATTAAATAGGATTAAACTAATTAATAGTGTCAATTTTTCACATAAGAACCAAACACATAAGTATTTAGATGGGAATCACTTGGTGCATGATATGAACTGTATGCAGGATGAGGAAGACCCTCCCATCCATACTCAACCATTGTTTTGACTGTCAACAAGTGACAGTAAGAAGACAAGGACTTATCAGGCCACTGGTACACTTGTTTCTTGGAGAACACTTGATCACTATATACTCCAATAATGAATGGTGATGAATGTCTTAAGGTTGGAATTGTTTGCACACAGGAAGCAAGTGATACTTCATATTTCTTCATGCATACATGTTTAAAGTATGGTGGCCATCTTGTACTAGCCATCTGCCATGTGACTGCCGCAACAGCAAGATATCACCCTGGTTGAACATTCATGAACTATGTGCAGTCCAAATATTGTATAGTAATTTCTTGAATCGAGCCATTTTCACCTTGCTTTCTGATCCACCCTCATATATGCACCCTCATAAGAGTGCATATATGTAAGCTGAGGGTGAAGCTCTACCCTTAAATTTTTGCCTGGTAAATGAAATACACTCTCTTTCAATAGTGATCCATTTCAACCCAATAGAGAGTACATCAATGAATTAATTACACTCCAAGAATTACTTCCAGTGAATGTAATCTCAAGTTATCTGGTACTTGTCAATACTTAATATCAATTTTTACAAGGTGTTCTGACGTTTCTGGCCCACCCATAAAAAATGTGGGTAATTGCTATGGCAGTTACTGTGAAAGCATCTGGCTTATCTGCATTGGCTACATGAAGATCCAGACGATCTGTTCAGGCCAAGAAAAGCTATGCAGATGCAGGATGGAGTCCCATGCCACACATCTGGTTTTGCATTTCACATCGTCAAAGAGACTGGGATTCACAGCTAGAAGAAGTTGATCAAGGGACTGTCCTAAATAAGTGACTAGAGGAAATTATAGATGAGTTGTACTTTGTAAACCTCCCCTTCCAAAAAATAGAGAGATAGAGAGAGAAATATATCAATTCAAGTAGCAGAGAAACTAAATCAAGAAAATAAACTTTGGCTTCTGCCCACAGAAAGAGCAGCACCTCTAACCCCAGCACCAAGGAACCAGAGGGAATATTTGGGTTGGCAAAGAGCTGATTGGAGATGAATGTTAAGTGCAAGATCAATTAAAAAGGTGTTTTATTGCTGTTTGCCCTTTCTTGGAGTTATTGCCTACAAGCCTTCTCCCTGTGCAACCTTCTAATCTGGATCAGTAGATAAGAGTGTTCCTGGAAAGTTCAGCTCATGTAATCTTGCCCTGTAGTTGAGTTTGACACATGATTGATTCCTGACTTCTCTCTTTAAGACAAAACATGTAGGTGAAAAAAAAAATTTTTTAATTAATTATTTCCAATCTATTACCTTGAAATGATCCATCCTGTCTTCTTCACTTATGAACTTACCTGATTGATCCTTCAAAGCCTTGGTGGTAATGTTACTTCTGCTTTTAATTTTGTAATTAGCATAACCAAAAAAAGCCTTTGACTTGTCCACACATGAAGTTACAGGGTGTCCCAAAAGTAGTGTTGGGAATTTCATAGGGCATTACTAGAAAACAAAGCAAAGGATAATAATGTTATTATGCTTGCATCACTCCTGAGTGCCAGTAATTACAGTCACCAATGGGTGTTCACAGGTGCAGTACACATGAGAAATAATTTATTGCAATTTGTGTTCCATCTTGCTGGAAGCATTCACATGCATGAATCACAGCCACCATCCTTCTGGCAAGGATTTTCTGATAGACAGTCTTGATAGCTTTTCTAATATTGTCCCTCAGTGCAGCAATTGTCTGTGGTCTATATATGTAAACATGCCCTTTCAAGTACCCCAAGAGGAACTACTCTGATGCTGACAAGTCCAGGGATCTCTGTGCCCATGTGATGTCACCAAAATGAGAAGTAATGAGCTCAGGAAAATTGTTACAATGCAGTGTCATTATATCCTGTGCTTCCTAACAAATTTCATCTTATTGGAGCCACAGGTCCTTCTCAGAAAGGTTATGATACTGCATTGCATACAATTGCTGCTTGCAAGATGGAGGATATTTTGAAGGCATTATTTGTGATGTGTAACACACATGAATATCCCTTGATAACTGCATAATTTAACATGTTGTGAGCATATTAACTTTATTCTACTTAGCTTTGTTTTCTGATAATGCACTATTAAAATCCCAGATCAACTTTTGGGACACCCTGTAGTTTCTCCTCTAATGTGAACTTACTTTCACAGGTCTTAACTGCCTAGGTCCATCTTTGAAGGAATCATGGACTTCGAGTTTCTTACTAAGCTCAGCCCATAGTTATTTTTTTTCCATCATTTGTTGCTTCATCTCCTTATGAAAGCACATCAGCGGATTGGTTTTCTTATAGATCTACAAGATGAACATTTGTCATAGAAATTGAAATTATGTTCTTGAAATTCAACTGTATACTTTCAATCTAGAGGCTATTCTCAATCCAATCCAAATTTTGCTCCATCTTTGTGGTACAATGAACTTCAATGCATAGGGTGGTTGGATGGTAACTCCCTATTTTAAAATTGTGATAACTTTTGTACTTTTTGGACTGAAACTGTTTTTTGTGCAAAATTAAAGAGAATTCAATGAGACTTTGATTTCATTGATATACTTGTTTGCATTGATTTTCCATGGTGCCGAAATTGAATCTTCAAAACCATTTGGAAATAACTACAGGGCATGAGGGATGGAGGCAGAAGAGGTAGGAAGTTGCATCCAAGGCATTCTCCTTCCACCACCACTTCTGGACTGTGGTATGATGCCTGGAGGTCTTCTGTTATGGTCTGTTAAAACATGTAGTATGTATGTTCTGCTATGGTCGATGGAAAATGCCTTGGATGCAACTTTCTACTTCTTCTGCCTCCACACTTCATACCATGCAGATATTTACGCATCGTGTCGAAGGTTCAAGTTGTCACCATGGAAGGTCAATGCAAACAAACAAATCAGTGAAATCATTAAACCTAATTGAATTCTCTTTCTTTTGGCACAAAAACAATTGTTCCAGTCCAAAAAGTATGAAAGTTCGTACAATTTTAAAATAGGAAGTTTCCTTCCAACCACCCTGTATTTTGGTGAAGCAGTAGTATTTCTCTAAAGATATGTGGAAAATTAATTTTGACTAACTGAAATACATTCAGGCCGTGACATAAGGAACTTCATTCTTTGTCATAGCAAAGAGGTTTGTAAGAATAAGTACACCCGCCCAAACATTGAAGTATGCACAACCAAGCCTTACAAAACCTTTATGTGAAGATTTGTATTCCTAGTAAACTGCTGATTGATGGCTTTTGTTTTGCAGGGCGGAGAGAGGGGAGAAACTAGGACAGCGTCGTCTTGTTTTTGACAATCCAGAGTTGCATGTCCGTGTGAGTTAACAGAACTGTTACAAGGCCATTCTCTCATTGTTGTGAACCTCTTTAGCGTGAAAACCTTGCAATAAACTGTCATACCAGTGTGAAACGTTGCTTGTAATTCCTTTAATATCGACACAGGCTCTGCATTGTATTCATAGCAGAGTTGGCCTCCGTCTGGCCATTTGTGTTCTTAAACGCTTAGGGGGTGTCACGCTCATAATCTCATGATTTATAAAGTTACTTCTCAAACCTGCCATCATACTTACTTCATGGTAACATCCAAGCTGGATCGAGCATAGGGTAAGAACTACGTAAACACCAACATGTATTCTTCATATCGAAGAAGTTGCAAAGATTACTTGAAAAAAGTTTGATATTTTTTTACTTTTTCTATATACAGTACATGAATGAAGTCATAGTGTAATATAATTGAGATGATCATTGGACCCCTTCTTCGTGATCTCCCGAAGACTTATCACCCAAAGAGCACAGAACCTCTTTTCCGAGACTTCTGGCGGAGAATCAAGAAGAAACAAACGAGCTCGAGCTCGAGTGAGAAGGAATTTTTGTTATTACTACCTCCGCCAAACGTGACGGGGAATCTGCATTTGGGGCATGCACTGACGGTATCTATCCAAGATGCCATGGTCCGCTGGAATCGAATGTCTGGAAGGGAGACACAATGGATCCCGGGCTTTGACCATGCCGGAATCGCCACTCAGAGCCTCCTGGAACGGATCTTGTGGAATCGGGAGAAGAAAACATGGAAGAGCCTTGATCCATGGGAATTCCACAGCATGTTAGAGACGTGGACCGACGAGCGAATTGGAGAGATCCGAAACCAGTTGGAATCCCTTGGAACGAGCCTCGACTGGGACCGACAGTTTTATACATTGGATGCGAACGTGAAGAAGGCAGTGGAGCACGCTTTCATCTTGTTACACGAGAGGGGCGACATATACCGTAATGTCAGATTGGTGAACTGGTGTTGTTACCTCGAGACTGCCGTGTCGGATATAGAGGTGGAGCATCGGGAAGTTGAAGGGCCGATTAAGTTGCAAGTACCTGGATGTTCCCACGACGTTCAGATTGGAAAACTGTTCTTCTTTTCGTATCCGCTGGATGGCAATGGAGGAAAGATCCAAGTCTCTACGACCAGACCAGAGACCATTTTGGGCGACAGTGGAATCGCAGTGAATCCCCAAGACCACCGCTTCAATCGACTAATAGGCATGCGTGCGAGACATCCACTCGTCCCCGGGAGGTTCTTACCCATCGTTGGAGATCACCGGGTGGACCCAAACTTTGGAACAGGTGCTATGAAGATCACGCCGGGTCACGACTTCACAGATTTGGAAATTGCGAAAGACTACGGCCTGGACGTGATCACGATCTTGGACGAGAAAGGTCATCTACTTCCCAATTGTGGTACTTTTCAGGGTTTGAACCGCTTTGCGGCTCGTGATGCCATCGTTGAGGCCTTGAGAGACGTGAATCTCTACGATGGTGAAAAGGGTGTGAAGACTACGATCCCCTTGTGCAGTCGAACTGGTGACATCATCGAACCTCTGCTCAAGGAACAATGGTTCTTGAGCACGAGCCAGACGGCCAAAGAAGTGTTGAGAGAGGTGGAGGAAGACAGAATCCAAATCCATCCTGGAGACATGAAACAGTCTTTGATGAACTGGTTGACTAAGTATGAAGACTGGTGCCTTTCCCGTCAGATCATTTGGGGTCATCGCATCCCGGCTTACCGATGTCGCATCCAGGATTCCTTCCGTTGGGTATCGGCATCGAGTCCCGAAGAGGCAGCGGAGAAAGCTGCCAAGAAGCTGGCAGTGAATAGGTGTGAAGTCCTCGTCGAAAGCAGAGACGAAGATGTCTTGGACACCTGGTTCTCTTCCTCCCTGCTTCCATTGACCTGTCAGGGATGGCCTCTCCGCACCCAAGGACTGTCTTCCTTGTCTCTCATGGAAACCGGTCGAGATATTCTGGGATTATGGGTCACCAAAATGTTGCTCATCTCCCATAAACTCACACAGTCTATCCCGTTTCGCAAGATCCTGTTGCACGGAATCGTGTGCGATGCTCACGGCCGCAAGATGTCTAAGTCCCTTGGGAACATTGTTGATCCCCTGCACGTCGTGTCTGGACGGACCCTGGAGGAACTGGAAGCGGAAACCAGGTCGAAGATCAAGCAGGGGCTCATCAGCAAATCAGAAGGGGAGTTGAGCATCGCGGGACAGAAGAAATTGTTTCCAAAGGGAATCCCGGCTTGCGGAGCCGATGCCCTCCGATTTTCCCTCTGCTTCTCTAACATCACGAACCCCGAGATCAACGTAGACATAGCGAAAGTGGCAGCTCACAGTCATTTCTGCAACAAGATGTGGCAAGCGATGAATTTTGCCGAGCAGGCGTTTAGGAGGAACGAGGGTTTTACGGAAGGGAAGGGGAAGACGGTTGAGAGAGCTCTGGATCGATGGCTCCTCAGTTGCCTGGCGTGGACAGTGGAGCGATGTCACGAAGCTTTCTCCACGCTGGCACTTCATCAAGCTCCCTCTGCCATCTATCAGTTTCTCTATGGGAGGTTATGCGACGTGTACGTAGAGGGGATCAAGCGGCACGTGTACGAAGGGGCGGGAGGGGAGGAAGGGAAGGAATGTTGCAGAACGTTGTTGGCGAGCCTGGGAACAGGGATCCGTCTCCTCCACCCATTCATGCCTCACCTGACGGAAGCCCTCTTTCATCGTCTCACACCATGGATTCACGAACCCCCAGTCTCCATCCTCCATACCTCTTACCCTCGTCCGAGTGAATGGCATGGGTATAGGGACCAAGCTCTGGAATCCCTGCTCGATGACGTACTTTATCTCGTAGAACGGGTCCGTGGCATCAGGCAACAGTATCAGCTAGGCGATCTTCGACCCAAGCAGATCTTCCTGGGCTCCACGAGGAAAGACTTGGAAATGCTTCAAGACGAGATTGGAATGTTAGGAAAAATCGACTCGGTTGTTTTCGAGGATCCAGACCGATCCATTCGATCTCATTGTTTCCAAGCGGATCCTCAGCGACTCCCCAAAGGCTGTAGTCTTTACCTCCATTTCCTGCCCGAAGACTTGGAAAAAGTCTCGGAGAAATTGGATGCCAGAAGGACGACTCTCGTGAAGTCTATGGAGAGCATGAAGGAGAAGATGTCGAAGGGAAAGGGGAAGAAGAAAGTTTCGGAACAATACGAGAATCTGACGAAGGAGTTGGCAAGTATCGATGATCTTCGTAGGACGATCTCTTCTTGGTCTTGAGTGTCACTTTATCTTGACAGCAATTGTTTTGTCGTCCATGGAATACAGTAGACACTCTTCATGTTGGAAGGGATAGTGTTTGTCATGGCGTGTACAGACTAGTGTTGGTAACGACGAGTAACCATCTTCTCTAGTGTTTCCCAGATAAATCCGGTAGATGCAGCCCTTCTTCCTTCCATTGCATTTGGTGGTTTTCTGCTCTTGAACTCTGGAGAATTCATCACAAAATGCTGAGCTCTAAGAACCTTTGCTCAAATTCTAAAGAGAGAACCTTTATTTATAATATATATAAAGAAAAAATGAGATACACGTGACCATAAATAGGTTAGCAAACTTAAGTGGAAAATAATGATCTCAATTAGCATAAGTAGTAAACATTGTCTCATGCCTATGGTACGTGGGTATATTCGAACGAGTATCTTGAGCTCACTTGAGTATTCGATCTTTGACATCACTAATCCCCCCGGGAAAAGTCCAAAGCGTGGTCAAAGCATTGAGTATACAGTATTGAGAAAGAGCACCCCCTCACCCCCCCTCTGGTGAAGTTTAGAATGCGTTAGCCTAGGGGACCCAGCCGCCACAACAATTTTTGGAGAGAACTGATAATTACAACGCAAAGCGTGAACGTTACGAGTCTCAAAACAAAGGTGAAAATGGCGATGTGACAGAAAAGTAAATAAAAAGGTAAATAGGCCATAATTTTTTCCGAAATAGATTGACTTTCTCCCTCTTTCAGCCAGGTATCAAATGTAGGCATTAGGTATGACCACAGGGTGACTGCGCTCAAATGCTTGTTTCTGCAATAATAAGGTTCTTTGATGCCTGTTGGGGTGAGGAGAGACCAGAGAGGACGATAGGGAAGCCTTGACAGAACGACAGACAATGTAGACGGGAGAAACATTGACGTAACGACGACTACTCAATCTACTCCAAGGATCGACGAATTCGACCTGAGTTCTATGTCGAATCGTCGTTCCTGTGTCATACAGGACGTGTCTAATCCTCCCATGTCTCCAGGTCCTGGAGGGTGGGAAACGTATCCTCACGGTTTCCCGTAGGAGCCGGTTATCAAATTCTCAATCTCGTATGCTGAGCATGAACCCATGTAAATGACTTTAAACCTCGCCATCAGAGGTTTTTCACATCGGTGGCCATGGCGCAGTTGGTGTGAATGAATTTCCAGACTTCCAGACCAAACCTAGATGCTTTATTAAACAAAGCCGAGGCAGGGCCGAATGAATGATTTTGGGCATTGGGTAAAGTATGTTCTGTGCTCATCTCTTCACAACCTCCCAGGGGTGTGGGAAGGTTGGACTGTGGAGTCCTCCTCGTGCCTAACGAGGATGTAAGGAGTAGAGGGGAAGAGTTCCCCAGTTCCCAACGCTGTCTGACCATTGCTGGTCGCTTTCCCTTTCGCGCCCTCGTCCTGCCCTGTAAGCAATGCGTCCCGAGCCTCCGACCACTCAACACAGTGGACACTCTGTCTTTCCTGAGCCGGCAATCGAGCAACTCAATGGGCACGGTGTGTGCCTCGAACCGCGAGCCGGACAGAACGGTGAACTGTAGTAAGGCCGTCCCGAGCCGACAGCCAGACTGAACCGCGGTCGGCGGACAGGAACCAGCGGATACGACCATCAACGAATCTGGACGAGTTGTGCGCGAGACCTCCTACGAACGTGAGGCTTTCTCCCTTATGTTTCTTCCTCCATACTTTCTCCGTTGATTGTCCAATAAATCATGCACAATTGTTAACGCTGATTTAAGGACGTACCTTCCTTCTCAACTTGGGAGTCAGCAGATCGAAAGAGAGAGTAAGATGCTTTTGCCTTGCTCAATAGCCATTCAAAGAACACGCAACCTTTCTGATTATTAACCAACCACCTCGGGTCTGATCCCCATATGTAGCGAGCATTCTTACCACATATTCTGTGACCCCCTGGGGTTGGTTACAGGATAGTAGGGGCGAAGTCTCAACAAAGGGTGTGAAACCTTTGAACCTTTCTTTCTCTGTTGCGCCGCAATTCATGGTTGGTCACCTCCCGTACTGATGGGTAAATCTGATTTTATCCCCACCTACCCTCCCCCCTTCATGTGTGCATGTGCGCTAATTCGGCAAAGGTGAGGAACAACAGACTCCCTTGGTTGCTCTTCACAATCCTTCTCGATCAAGTTTTAATTAAGTTTAGCAGGAGGTAAAGGCCCAGGCTTCGTTTTTTTTTTTTTTTTTGCTCTTTCCCTATGTGGGAAGCGTTCATATTTTTTTCCCTTTCAGTTTTCCGCAAAAAATATTCAGGTAGCCCAGCTTTCAACTCTAGCAACCTAAAAAAATAAAAATAGTTTCTCGGCCCCATTGGAGCGAACCCCCGAAAACAGTGTAATATGGTATCACCGTGGATGTCAATGCAAAAGGGAAGATGGCTTCAGGCACGGATCCCACGTGATTCAGTGACGGTCCTGTGCGTTTTCGTTTCGTGTGTGTATCATGACGAACGAAAGATCCCTCACACGCAAAGCCGATGCTCTCTCCTTCGAATCTGCATTCGATTATGGGAGTGTATTCTCGTTCAATAATTTCCGTAAAACGGAATGCAGTGTTTACTACGAAGGAACGAATGGGGAAGGCCTAGGAGGGATGGAGAAGGTCTTGCGGGCTGTCATCTTCACTCTCGGTTTTTTCTTACTTCTGCCATTATCACCAATCGTATTGTGGCTCTGTCTTCATTCCCTGCCCCAGTGGGAGAGGGTAGCAATCTTCAGACTCGGTAAGTTAGCCATATGTCCAGTGAAGGAACCGTCGTAGGTTCCCAATGTTTTGTACTTTTGAACTCACCTGGAGTTCGCTGACACCTGACGTGCAATGTTCAGGGCATAAAGATGAATGTATTGGATCACTGTGCCTGCAAAGCTGAGAACTTGCATATACTTGGTTTGAATCAGAGATACGTAGTTAACTTAGGCCTAGGACATTGCATTTGCAAGTTTTGCATTTCATCAGATATCCCAAAGACAGAGGCACAACATTGCTCACCAGACATCTAATACTCAGGACTCATCAGAGCACCATCAGACTGTCATGCTTGCAGTGATTTTGGATCGACTTTTCCCATTTACATGTGTTCCATACTTTCCTAATGGGCATTACCTTAGAGTTGTGCAGTGACTGTTCACATGCTCAGGGAGGGATATCACTCCAGGTTCACGAGTCCTAGCTATTCTCCTGTACTACTTTTTATTATTGTAATTATTAGATGTTTCCCAGACACTGTAGACAACATTGCCAGGTATGAAGGTAGGAGGGAAAGTCATTCCAGAAACTCTAGGCTCTGCCTTGCTATTGAACATGTGTTATACTTTCCCATGTTGCTGACATTCCCTATGATTTCTGTGTCATTCTGACATCAAAGATGGGCCTTGGATCTTAGAAATGTTATCCATCATGATGTACATTTTCAACTCCTGGCTTTGTATATTACATTGCAACAATATATTACCCATTACTCAGTCAGTAACGGTTGAGCACATACCCCCTAACAAAATTACACTCCCTCAGTCTCCAATGTTTCCAGATGAATTCAACTGGAAACATACTACATCGATTTGGATTCCTATTGTATGTAACAAACACCACCCCACCCTAACCTAACCTAACCTGGCCTAAATTATAGAGCAACACAATATCCCTAGGGGGTATGCACTTAATGGTGACCTACTCTGTCTCCTCATAAGGATGATAACTATTCATTGTGAAGATTTTTCATTTGGGTTTAACACATTTGCTTTGGATTCCAACACCAGTGCTTTAGAAAAATCATAGGCTTCATTGATATCAAGTTTCAAACTTGAGTGAAATTGTATTAGGGTGGAAATGGATGTCAGTTTTCATCATGGAATCCCTGTCCTGACTATTATAGGACGGTTGAAAGGGATCCAAGGTCCTGGTTATGTTCTGCTCCTTCCTTGCATCGATAAATGGAGGAAAATAGACCTACGAACACAGATGTTCACTGTCCCTCCCATGCAGGTGGTGCCTCTTACCTACTATGCATTGCATTGGCATTCATGGTGTGTAGTCTTTTCCTTTTCTCTTGTAAAGGTGATAACCAGTGACCGAGGAATCCTGGAAGTTGGAGCTGATGTCCAGTATCGAGTTGCCGATGTGTCCAAATTTATTCTCAATATATCACGTCCAGAGGTACAACTTTGAGAAAGACTATTGATAGATTTCACCAACTACTTTTGAATAATCATGAAAGTGTCTTCCTGCTTTAGGAGGGTCTACGAATGCTTGGCAGGTGTGAGTTGATGAATATTGTGAGCAAGCATGATGTTAGTGCTTTGGCCCGAAATACTGTGCATCTGGAGGAAATGCTCAGAGCCAACATGACTCAAGCATCATCCACTTGGGGGATTGAGATATCTTGCATCATATTGTATGTCCCATGAAGATTGATTATGATCATCAGTACAAGGGGCATTCACTGAATTCGCCAAGGCTGCCAAAGGAATGTTATATTAAATATGTGAGATGCTCATTAAATGACATCCCCTCAAGTTTGCAACACTTCTTCCTTTGACTTCTCTGTCCTATAGTATCACTATATAGCCCATTAATCTTCAAGACCTTTTAGGTCTTGGCTACAGCTGAAGCAATTCGGTTTCATGACAATGCAGGACCCCAATGCAAGCTAAGTGTTGTCAACCTAGTTGAGTCATAAAATTGAGAGATCCTTGCCCATCCTGCATGTAGATCAGACCAGAGTCCTTGTGACTTATTTCTATTCCTCTCATGAAAGAAAAGAATAATCAGCAAAACTAGGTTTCATGTTGAAGAGATTGACTTAGCTGTGGTCAAGTCATAAAAGACCTTGTAGATCAGGGATGCACAACATATGGCCTGCAGGCCGCATGCAGCCCATGAGGCCCTTGCTCGTGGCCCACTGTGACTGGTGATGTTATTAGAGCAACTATACCTCCTACCCTGTTGGCTACAGTTATGGGCAGCCAAACTGTGGCTTGCAGTATGTGAGTAAAAATCGCAAATGCCCCTAGCAGTCTTTTGAGTTGTGCACCCCAGTTGTAGATGAATGGCCTGCAAATTGATATTATTGGACTGAGAAGTAAATGGGGAAAATGCTGTGGTGATTATGCTGAGTAAGTATCTGATGTTGAGTATAGCATTCCTTTGGTAGCCCTGATGAAGGTTATTTATGGAATGCTCCTCTTATTGAAACTCTAATTATGACCATTAAACAGAATCAAGGAACGAAAAGTGAATTAATTGTTATAATGTTCTCTGTTTTGTAGAACCAGCATAAAAGTTCTTAAGGATGGAGAGGGACCACAGATTCTCCATTCTCTGTCAGCAGTCTTCAGCAACATTACAGGGGTCAACATCCCACTTATTCCATTGCAAGATGTCATGCATTTGCCTCAGCCTTCTGCTTCATCGGGTCAGTTATGTAATCATCCTTATAATCCTTTAGGAATTAATGCTGCAGTCCTGTTATTCCTATGAAATATTTTATGTTGCAGTTGAAGGTTTCAAGGATTCTGAGCTCTTGGGAATTCTGAAAAAAAAGCTGGCAAATGTTCACGTGTCTGAGGACATGCAAGGAATATATGAGGTTGTTGTCAATAATGGTGAAGCTATTCATATTATCCTGAATGCTGGTGAGTGATGAAATCACAATCACTTTTTAGATTTTTAGAATTGCCTATTCAGTACCCTTTCTTTTTCTCAAAGAGTTTCCTTGTGTTTTGTCAGTTTGTTGGAATCCTATAAAAAGGTAGCTGATCACCTTAAGTATTTTTTATCTAGCAGGTTGAATGTTGTTTTCAAATTTAATTTAAAAAATTTTCCCCCAAATCCATCACAAGAAGAAACTTCTGCCTGCTCTTACCCATGCAATACATTCTTGATATGCAACTCTTTGTAAGGTTGATTTGTCATAGTTTCAATATATGAGGTATTGGTAGTAAAGTGAGAAAGATGGCACTTCATGAATTACTAAAATGTCTTAAAGTTCTTCAGATGGACTAGGGACAATTGGAAAGTTTCTAGAGTTCTATGGAGTTGAACAATTTCTGGTTGAAATTGGGTAGTGGGTGTAGCCATAATTTGTGTTAATGCTCAGCTGTATGTCATTCCTTGTCATTTTCATGCCTTTTTTGTTTGTGGCCACTTTGGTTTGGTAGTGGAAGACTTGCATCAAAGCAACTTGGAGTAATTGAGTTTTTGGTGAAGGAAGGCAAAAAATCTAAAGAAAAATGTAACCCACCTAACACTGACCTTAGATCTGGAACTAAATGGTCAAGTCAGTGATGAACTCTCTCAATAGTGAAATATTGACTGTTTCTGAATTCTTCTTCTGCTTTAATCAGTACTACTCATGGTTGAGATCCTAGTTCAAATGGACATGGGAACTGTTGAGTCCCCCAGACTGAGGGTTCTTGGGAGAGACAAGTCCTAGGTCACATCATGCAACAAAATTTGAATGGGAAAGTCATTTCCAGGATTTCCAGACAAAAAGAAATAGGTGATGAATGCTTCCTCACCTATTTCTTTTTGTCTCTAAATGTTCCTTATTTTCATCATGCATGAGTCTTTTAACTCTTTACCAAAAACTCAGTTGCTCCATTCTGCTTTGGCCTGAGCCTTCAATCAGTTTTCCAAAATGATCATGAATGAAGAAAGTCAGAAGAAATAACATCACATACTCCAAAACACATAAATTATTGCCACTGCTGATGTGCCACCTTGATCAAAAATTGGCTCAGCACCTCTTGGTGCTCTGGGATTTGGGACTCATGATAGAGTGAAAAGTCTGGAAACTTCTCAATTTTGCCCCTTGTATACCATACAGGTAATACTGGTTCTTATGATGTTTCCCTAGGGAGAGCAGATGTGATAAGTAGCAGTCAGAGCGTCTTTTCCCCAGATGTCTCAGTGATGATGAATCTGGAAGACTTGGAGAAGTTGATTCAAGGGAGGATTTCACCACTAGCTGCATATATTGGAGGAAAGATAACTATCCAAGGGAATGCATCCAAATTCCAGGGTTTGGAATCCCTCTTTTCATCCTGATGGAGCTAGAAAAGTATTAATATTTCAAGGAGACTTGCAAGACTCAAGACATTGCATTTCTCCCAGAAGAATGAAGAGCTGGAATGGGCCCTCCTTGATTCCTCTGTCAACAGAGCAGAGAATTGGAGGCTCTTGATATGTGTTCATTCTTGAAACTCTAGTCAATGTGTTTTTGTGCAATACATTGTATTGTCAATGTCTTTCCTTTTGACTTTGTTTTTGTGAAAGGCATACTACCCATGTTATCTCATTTGGGATGGAAGGTGAACAACCTGCAATGTGGAACAGGTTCACTACTAGGGATGCACCGATCCAGGATTAGCTGATACCGATCTTGGTATCGGCTGATCCGATATCGATACAGACAGCTCCCAGTGGCTGTCAGAAGTGAAACCACAATACAGGACCAGACCTTTGTAGACCATATGCTACCTTTGGCATGAAAGGGAAGAAATAAAAAATCCTCAGACACTAATGACCCAACATTCAAAATTCCTGTAATTTATTTAGCTCTGGAGACATTTACATCGGCCAATAAATTAACTTCTTCAATATAGGCCAAAACTTCCCCCACCATTCACTGGGCCAGCTGAGAATATGGACATAGGTACTACAAACAAAGGATGATCGGTGTGAAGAGGAGTAGGAGTAGGAACTACATCTCAGGTCCTTAAGGGATCAAGGAGTTGATGCAACTACGACCAGGATTGGTGCCCGAGGGGAGAGCCGGAGGTGGGATGGACGTGAGCACAAAGTGCGCCTGTGCAAACCAGTCGGCGCAGGAAGGCAGGAGACGGGACTGAATGCGTACGTGAATGACTCTGGCCCATTCCACCAACACCATTTGTACAATGCCCTTCTCAAATCTCTCACATTCTGCTTTAACCATGCCCAAACTCATTGTCCATTAGTTGGAGATCAACAAAAACTATGATGGACTTAAAGAACCATATGCCATTACAAGTGGGGGCTTTTTCTTGAGATGTTCCCAAAATTTACATGCTGCACATCAAGTATGGCATGTGTCAAGGGAGAATCAGATCAGATTGGCCATTTAGGTATTGGCCGATACCGATCCTGACCGATCCACTGAATATCAGCCGATACCGATCCTGACCGATCCACTGAATATTGGCTGATACCGATACTTTGGATCGGTATCTGTGCATCCCTATTCACTACTGTCGTTCTCCCAGCCATACCCTAAAGGAAGGAGAATGTCATTCTTTGTGTTGACTGATGGCTAGCTTCATCATAATGCTACTGGCAGATGAATCTGTCTGCTGGAATATATGTGACAGACATTTCAACATGGGAATGCATGCAAAAATGTCAAGTCGTGGATTGGGTAGAACTCATTCTAGCTCAAGCTTTTGGGGAATTGAGGGAATTATGTCTTGTCAGAGACCATGGAAGACATGTGGCCAGCCACACACCATTTCAAACTTGTTTGCACTTGCAGCTTTTCATTCATGCTTGAATATTTTCTGCTGCTTAACCATGAAATATTTTTTGAAGAGCAGTCATATTGTCCATATTCAAGTCTGGATCTGAGAGTTTATACCAAATTTGATCATAACACTTGCCATAGTTTCAGGAAATATTTTCAGGTGACATTTTATATAAGATTTTGGCTTAAACCCAGGAGTGATTCACCTCTTACTTGCCTTCAGTGGTGAATTTTGACTCATGAACCAGTGAAGGTTCAGAGAAGAGAGAGAAGGTTCTTGGGGTTGAAGAAATTACTTCAGAGGTGGCACTAGGCACTCTCAGGAGCTGCTGCCCTTGTAAAATAAACTGCTGGTTACAGTACTAGACACACCTTATGGAAAGTTCATCTCTCAACTTCTCTGTTTGGAAAATGTTGAAACATCCATCCACCCAAAAATGTCCTGCTATACTTCCCTGGTTCAGATATTTGAAATGTGCAAAGAAGAAACCATAGAGTGTGAATAGACTTGGAAGCAAAAGGAAATGAGTGGCACTCATGAAGCAAGAGAAAATCTTACTGAACATCTCAGTCATTCCAACTTTTGAAACTTTTCATTTTCGCTTTTAACATCACTTGTAATTTTACCATCAAACACATTCAAGTTGAATGTAAAGTTGCCCAATCTGGCATGAATCAGTGTTCTCTGGCCAACAATGATATCACATCAAAGAGTTGTATTGGGTAATACAGTATTATTTAACACGTAGGGTGGATTTTTGAACAGAGAACTATCCGATAATGCAGCTTTATTCCAAGGAAAATAGTATGCATTTTAGTTGGAATAAAGCTGCATTATCGGATAGTTCTCTGTTCAAAAATCCACCCTTAGATTGCCATGCCCATTTTATCTACAAGCTGGGACAAGGAATATAGATACAACTTGCTGGTGGGTCGTATGGCAGTCAAAATGTTAAATTTGGTAAAGTTTCAAGCAAAGTTGGTAGGTTTAAATCATGTGATTTAAGTCAGCCAACCCTTTTTTTGGTTCTTGGTTACCATTTTTCAAATGCTATTCATGGTTTCTTTGAAGCTTCAAAGTCCATAGTTATTCATGTTTTGTAATGTATGTAGTTCTCAACCAAGGAAAGCATTAAAGAAGTTCAGAATCTCCCAGTGGGCATACTTATTTTTTGTTTGGATCTGCTGTATATTGTAGCTTGCAACCTTCACACATTATTTGCTTTTTCCTTGTTTTCATGCATTCTTTATTTTAACTGTATTTATTTATTACTTCACCACACATATTTCGAATATTTTTCAATTCAATGTTGGTTTTGCAGCTTTTCAAACAGTATTTACTTTGAAAAACTTATGGAAACAAGAAATCTCTCTCTCTCTCTCTCTCTCTTTCTCTCGTACACACACTCTTGCAGGTTTCCAATTTTGTCTCACTAGCATCATTCCTACTCCTCCAGTTATTTCTTATTATCATTACTTTTTCATGGGTCCAGGAGTGGTCAGGAGTACCTGCTCGAGAAATGGGTGGAACAAAATCTTAGCGTGAATGGGAAGGTCTAGGACCAAAGACAGGAAAGACCGCAGAATTTGAAAGACTGGATCAGTATACATGGGAGATGGTGGGATTTCCTACTTTTTTTTTAATGCACACATACCCAGGTAGCCGTGAATGATCAAAACCTCGTCCATGGACAGTCCAGTTGTCCAGAGATGGATCCAGTATCCAGTAGCAGTCATCCTTCGGATGTTCGTGAATGTCATGACCATGGATCTTGTCATTGTTCTTGAGCTTCATCTGGGCAGGATTCCGTACATCTTACCCTCAATCTTTTCAGTTTTATGGAATGGCGACATGAGCGTGTGATCGTGTGATCTCCGGGGTTCTTTCTTTTCTTATTCAAATCTCTCATCTTAGATCGAAACCCCGTGACTTCAAGCAATATATTAATGTTGTAGCAATTCAATTGGATCAGAGTACATTTCATTTAAAATACTCGACATTTGAACGAAAGGATGGAACGTCCAATGGACAACTTCTTACGGTCTACCATTGGATGTCCTTGACCAGCTTCTATATGGCCTGACAGCTAGCAGTTCATTCTATAAAAATAAAGTTTTGACAATATTAGCGAGGTCGTGCTGAACTCGCCGATTTCCCTGATGCTGCTGGATGGTTCCACAGAAGCTTTCATCTCGTATTCGATATCCAGGGCCGCCTAGAGGTTTCCAGGGGCCCGACCTGTTGTAAAATATAATTGATTTTTCAAGCGTATATTTTTTTTATGTAAATGCGACGTCTCAATATTTACTCGATTTGCATGAAACATGAAAATTAACGCCTATATAATGCTTATGTTAAATTCCTGGGGAATAAATGAAGGGTTCTCCGGAAAAGGGACGTGTGTGCCCATACTTCCTTTTTTCATATCCATGCTCATACACTGCTTTAGGTTATTTGCAATAGGATAGAATGATCTAGAGGTGGTTCAGACTTGCACGTAGTAGGGTACGTTGTAGTTGCAAACTTCTCAAGTCAGACCTGGAGATTTCATTTTGAGGGACTAAATCGGTTACTAGGAGTTCCTGCTGACGGTGGGGGTTTTGTACAACTGTCACGCTTCCTCCACACGGCTGTCTCAACAGTATTTTGTGAGCCTCCGTTAGATAGATGTGATAGCAGTCGTCTAATACCTCAGGTCTCAGGACCAAGATAAATCCAGGGCTTGCTATTTCACCGTCTTTTTCTTCCCTTTCTGCGTGAAATTGGGAGAATCCCGGTCTCCTGGAATCCTTTGCTAACTGGTCGAGAGGAAGAGGATGAAACCGGGGGGGGGGGGGGGGTTGTCAGCCTTAGTAAGTAAGCAAGGGAAAAACCATTTCCTCTTGCCGTCACTAGATGACGGCAGTTCAGGCAGTTCTTTCTTTCCCTCCGAAAGTAAGAGAGAATATAACCCGACAGGAGGAAAGGGGGAATTAAAAGTACTAGTCAGTCAAGCCTATTAAAGGATACACGAATGAAAAGAAAACGGAAGAGTGGAGATGCTCACATGGGGGAAGACTGGGACTCTGGAATGAAAGCTCTTCTCACTAATCTCATCTTTCTTTCAGGAATGATTTTCTAAAACCTAGACATTTGCAAGTTATTATTTTTCTTAATGAAAAATATACAACTGAAAGGATGACTGGAAAGCTCTTGGAACATGCATGTGGAAAGGGGACGTATTTACATAAACATTTTCTGGCTGCATTCTGACAACTTGAAAGAAAAATAAATTTAAAAAATAAGAAGCCTCGCTTACCGGAAACTGGGCACAGATCCGTCACATATGAGCTCTGAGGAGATTTTGCTAATTAACTTTTTTTTGTGCTTTTTTTTTGCACCTAAGCCCCTTGTCTAGAGCAGTGGTTCCCAATCTTTTTTAATTTGCGGCACACATTACTTTCGATGGGAAGCTTGTGCTTGCTTCGCTGAACACAGCTATTTGATACGAGGCGTGAGTGCAACTCTCAGCTCGTTTCCCACTGAGAGATGGCGTTCCCTCTTGTTTTT